TGTCCATGCAGCGCCCTCTGGTGGTCAGCATGCAGAGGCGTCCACTTGCCTGTAAGCTTGGGCCACCCCCTGCCCTGGGAGCCCCAGGGAGGACGGATCCTGGGGGTGCAGGCTCCTGCTGAGCATGGATGTCCTGGACCCCCGCAGTGATCCTGGAGAAGCCCATCCGGATCCCCCGCTTCCTCTCTGTCAAGGCCTCCCACGTCCTGAAAGGATTTCTAAACAAGGTACGTGTCTGGCCGTGTGAACGGCTCCTCCGGTCTATGACTTCAGCATGGTGGGCAGGGTTCAGCCACGCTGCTGGCCCTTGAAGCCTGGGTTGGTCCCATGGGCTCGACATCTGACTTGGCAGGCGAGCCCTGCTGCAGACTTAATAAGACAGTGAGAAGCGATGCCCTAGTGGAGACACAGAGAGCAGGGGCGGGGCCTCAACACGGGAGTGTCCAGCTCAGCAGGTGGGCGGGGCTGCTGAGGGTCATGATGTACTCACTGGGAAAGGGGTCCCTGCCCCCCACGGCCTGCCAGTCGGGGCTTCTTTGCTGGGGCTGACTTGTCCTTGTTTGACCTCTGACCCCTAGGACCCCAAAGAGAGGCTCGGCTGCCGGCCACAGACAGGATTTTCTGACATCAAGTCTCACGCCTTCTTCCGCAGCATAGACTGGGACCTGGTAAAGCTCCACACCATCCTCTACCCACAACCCGCGGCGGCAGCGTGAGGTCCTTGTCCCTGGGCTGGCCGCAGGAGCCGAGTGCTGCCAGGCTTGTTCCTGGGGTGGCCCCGAGGGTGGGTGGGCATGAAGGCTTGGGGACCTTCAGGACCCAGGGGTGATTAGGAGATGAGGGACCCAGGTGCTCTGCGGTGGTGCTTTCTGGCAGTCTGGGGAGGAGACAGTGTCCCTGGTCCCTGGCCAACTCAGTGCTGCCGGGACCCTGGGGTGCGGGCCTGGCCTAGGAACTCGCTGCTGGGCTGGTTCTGTGAGGGCCCATGTTGTGGGGCTGTCCTGGAGGAGGATATTTTTTTTTTGTTTTCATCACCGTTTACTGGACAGGGCCAGTGGATATGGCATTCAAGGCTTTGCTCTTAGTGCTGAGGTTCCAGATTCAAGGAAAGCTGAGTCAACAGGGTCCCTAGCATGTAATGGTTCGACATATGACTTCTTGACTTTAGGATGGCATGCATGCAGTGCACATCCGGGAGGAATGGCGCCCTGAATGTCCACCTTTTCCGATCTAGTGCTGTGCAGTCGGTCCAGTATGCTCTTGCGACGACGGTCACCCCCAAGCGCAGGCTGGCCTCCACGCTCTCCAGCATGCGCATGGCTGACTGGTTCTGCAGCCATGGCCTGGCGTGAGCATCTGAGCATGTTGAGGCCGAGCCAGGGTGTTGGGGATCAGGCGTGTCCAGTGCGTTTTCGACTTAGGATGTCTTCCACTAGGATGGGTTTTCTGGGAGGAAACCCCAGGGGAAGTTGAGGGCTGTCTGTAACTTGTTCCCAAATACATAAATGGTTGCAGAGTTGCTGAAACGTAACCTTTCAGATGTGCTCTTCCGGGGAAAACAATAGCTGGCCGTTAGGTGAACCTTGGACTAGCGTGAACAGGATCGGGAGACGCCCCCCCCCCCCCCCGCCGTGCCAAGGTTCACTCCTGCCCCTGTGGGCAGAGTGGGCTCCGTTGTGCAGCCAGTCAGCCCCTTTCTAGGGGAGGACTTCGCCTGCGCCTCTCGGGGTCCTGGAAGGGAGGGGAGCCTCAGAATCACTGTACCCACGGCCCCCCTGGAGCCACTGGCTCCTGCCGAGCCAGCCCTGGGACGTCCCTCTGTGTTGGTGCGAACATTCGGGGGTGCTGGGGCATCGTGCCTTCACACGGCAGCGCCACGAGCACCATGTCCAGTCGGTGTCAAGCAGCGCCAGGGAGGAAAAATCTGGGGTTTGGTCTTTAACCGTCGTCTCGACTGCTCGGGCTCACCTGGCCTCACGGGCTTAGTACAGGCATCCCTTGCCTTGGCCTCTGGAAGCCCTTGAGGCCGCATGGACACTCGGGTCCAAGTACCACCAGGCCCAGCCATCACGAGATCAGGGGCCCGCCTGGCACCAGGGCCACACCTTGAAAGAGCTGTCTGGAGCCTCCCTGGAGGAGGCAGGAGGTGGGAAGAGGCCCTGGGGAGGCAGGCCGGAGGGTGGCTGCTAACCTCGTGTCTGCACCACTTGATCCCCCATGAGGGGCAGATGTATGCACACATGACTGGGCAGCAACAGCTCTTCTGTTGTGACTTGTCACACCATGTCCGAGCCCCACCCTGCGTCCCCAGACCTCAGAGGAGCATGAGGCCTGCCCTTGGCTGCCACCCGAGGGAGGGTCTGGTCTCCACAGTGAGCGCGAGTCTCACCTAGAGGGTGGAGAGCACCCACAGCCTGCCACCCACCAGTCCCAGTGCTCTAGTCGTCACCGCGTGGGAAGGCCGGGCTGTGGGCAGCAGGTTTCCCGTCAGCCTGCAGGTCAGGGCTGTTCCAGCCCGCGAGGTCCCTGCAGGGCTCCTTGCCGCAGCCGGCATCTCCCTGTGCTGTTCCCGCTGTGCCCTCCCTGCCGTTGGCTCAGGGGGGCGTTAGCAGTTTGGGGGGCCATTGCCGTTCTGGGGGCCTTGGTGGTTCTGGGGGCCCTGGTGGTTTGGGGTGCCATAGTGTGCTGGGGGCATTCACGGTTCTGGGAGCCATAGCAGTTTTCCAATTTGCCCACACCAGGTGACTCGTGGCGTGAGCTCAGCAGAAGGGCAGCACTGCCCACCCCCTTCGAGCTCTGGCAGGAGTCACGGTGTGGGGGTTGCGGCACCATGGGCAGCCCCACCGAGCCCTCGCCTGTCCAGTCATCCCAGGGCCACATCCTTGTTTTCATTTTAAATCGTTTTTTTCCACTTTTTATGTCTTTTGACAGCTTTATTGAGACTTTTTTTTTTTTTGAGTTGGAGTCTCACTCTGTTGCCTGAAGTACAGTGGCTGCTCCCGGCCACCGCAGCCTCCACCTGCTGGGCTCCGGCGATCCTTCCACCTCAACCTTCCGAGTAACCGGAATTACAGGCGCGCGCTACCACGCCCGGCTGATTTTTTGATGAATTGTAGAGATGAGGTCTCGCCTGCCCAGGCGGGTCTCGAACCCACAGGCTCAGGCAATCCACTCATCTCCGCCTCCCAAAGGCACGGGATTATAGGCTGAGCCACTGAGCCCGGCTTATTGAGACTATTTTTATACCCCACGCCCACCATTCAGAGCAAACAGCTCAGGGGTTTTAGCTCAGCCAGTCTTGTGACCATCGCCATAGTCAGCTTAGAAATTCTCGTTCCAAAGGACCCTGACCGGCCCAGGCCCTCCGCATGCCCTTCCTTGACCCGGCACGCCAGCCTGCCTCCTGGCACTGTGGTCGGCCTGTTCTCGGCGTTCATGGAAACTGACCCATTCGGAGGCCCCCGCGCCAGGCTCCCCGTCAGCATGACCCCGAGGTCCCCCTTGCTGCAGCCGGCCGGAGCCTCCCTCGTGGGCACTTGTGGCATGGCTGGACCGCCTGTACCACTCATCGACCACAGCGCCCTCCACCACGTGGCTGCTGTGAACTGTGTGTGAACACTCACCTCAGAGCAGACTCGCGGGTCAGGGGGTGTCTGCCCCTCCCAGGGGCTGCCCAGTGTGTCCGTGGCATTTGCCTTCTGGTCCCTTTAGGGACCCCCCCAGTGCTGGGCTCGTCACAGTCCAAGAACCCTACCCGTGGGCGCCTGCTGCCCGTGGGAGCAAGGCAGGAGCAAGGCGGGGGTGTCATGGCTGGGCCTGGTGGTACTTGGACCCGAGTGTCCATGCGGCCTCAAGGGCTCAAGGTGGGGGAGCAAGGCGGGGGCACCCTCTGCTGCTACACAGGAGTCAGGATCCTTTTCTGGCACTGAGGAAGGGAGTGGGTGCAGGCGGTAAGGGGAACAGCACCCGGCCCCCAGCCTTCTTGGGTGGACCCGGGACAGGGTCACAGTCACTCCAGAGCCGTCCCCAGCCCTCTCCCTCCTGCCCTCCCAGCCCAGCTGGCCCCACACTGCTGGGGCCGCCACACCTACCCCAGAGTGGCCGTGAGACCGGCGCCCTTGCTCTGCCTCATTGCAGGGTTTGGCTGGGGCCTCTGCAGACATGGGTGGCATCAGAGGGGCTCACCGGTGACACGATGCGGTCCTCGGTGGTCACGTAGAGTCAGGGGTCCAGTGAGCCACGAGCAGATCCCACTGACGTCCGCAGGGAACTGAGTCCTCCACGCTGTCCCTTCTGATGTTCCATGGCGCAGTGCCGCGAGGTCAGGCAGGGCATCTCCCGGATGGCAGGGTGGCTGATCCCAGCTCCTGCTTCACACGTGTCCTGGAGAAGCTCCTGACCTGGAGGAGTCACGTGGGGACTGAATCTGTCTCTCCTGGGGGCAGAGCTACTGGGCACCTGGCCCAGGGGCTCTCCGCAGCCCTCTGTCGACCCACAGGGCCACTGTGGGGCTGGCGCTGGGCCCCTCCTCTGCTTTCCTCGCTGGATGGGCAGTGGTGGTGGTGGCGACCCTGGGGCCGGCTGCTCCGGAGAGGGGCACATCTGCCGAATGCTCTTGCCAGCTGTGCCCACGGCATGACGGCCTGGGGTCTGCCTCCCGGGAGATGGGGGTATGTGTGCTCATTGGAGGAGCCTTCAGAAGCTCCCGTGGGCCAGTACCAGGTGTACTCTCTGCCTCCCTACACACTGACCCTGCTGCTTGGGCTTTTGGAGCGGAGGCCGTGGGGGGCGTCGAGTGACCCATGGCTGCATCCTGAAGAAGCAGGTGCAGAGGACAGAGTCCCGGCCAGGACAGCCGCTGCACAGGGCATCGCTCCCCAGGACCTCATGTCCTGTTGTGGAGCACATGAACTTGGAGTCTGGGATTTGACCCAGTAGGCGTCCCAGTGGGGTCCCGAGGCTCCCTCAACGTGAGCGGGGCAGAAGCTGACAGCCAAGCCCCCTCTGCTGCCAAACTCATATGTCCCGGTGGCCACTGGTACCATGTTCACCAGTCACTTCTGGACGGGACATCTGTGGGGTAAAAACCCCAGACGCAAGGACTCAGACACATGGACAGCTTGAGGTGCAGATACATGGGTGTTGTGGGCACACGGACACACCAGAGACACAGACGCACGAGTGACACATGGGAAATGCAAGCAGCAGGCAGCTGCTGGATGTGCCATGCCACTGCCTGGTTCCCTTTGGGCACTTCCTGTGTTTAGACCCAGGAGCCTGAGTGACTGCAGCTGCCCGGGTGTCACCTCATGGGCCCTGTGCTTGTGTCCTTGGTCATCACCCCAAGGGCCCCTGATGGCCCCAGCCCAAGAGGCACACTGCTGCCACGGGGCCTTTGCGTGGCTGTGCCCTCCGCAGATGCCACCCCTCACCTCCTGCAGGCTGTCTCTCAAGCGCCCTAGCCCCTTGGCCCCCCCGCTGCTCAGGGTGGCACCTGGGACTGTCCCCTGCTTTGTCTTGAGGGCTCAGACATGCCTCACTGTCCACGTGCACTCTTCAAACATTGCTCCCAGAGGGGCTGGGGCACTGGTGGGAAGAGCCGTCAGTGCCACGGGTCCCGCCTGGAGCCTGCACTTGAGCTGCGGAAATGGGCATTGTGGGCTTTTAAGTGAGAAGGGGACAGAATGTCGGCATGTGGAGACACAGGCAAACTGAGGCAGCTCGAGGACTCAGAGTGTGGACAGGGGCCTGGTTTAAACAGCAGGAGCTGTTTTTCAAACCCTTTAAAAGCCTCTCAAGACCAAGGCAAGAGACATGGCTTGAGAGCTGTCCTTTTTTTTTTTTTTTTTTGAGTTGGAGTCTCACTCGGTCGCCCCAGACTGGAGTGCTGTGGCCGCTCCCGGCCTCCGCAGCCTCGACCTGCTGGGCTCCGGCGATCCTTCCGCCTCAGCCTTCCGAGTAGCCGGAATTACAGGCGTACGCTACCACGCCCGGCTGATTTTTTGATTTATTGTAGAGATGAGGGCTCGCCAAGTTGCCCTG